AAAGGCATTAAATGTCTAAGGTCGAAATTACTAAGTTATATAAGTGTGGTAGTATACTACAGCACAATTTAACATCTATTTTTAATTTTATTTTTATTTCATTTTTATTATTGATTCAAATGAGAAATCTACCTAAAGCTAGCGAAAGCTAATATTTCAGCATGCACAACTGGTAGTGTGGTACCGCGGTTGTTCAGGTGGTTCAATGAGTTCAGGTTCAGCTGCCCTAACTCATGGGCCTTACCCACTTATTGGAATTAAATATATAAATAAAAACAATACATACGACTAGATCATCGTAAATAATGCACCATTATATTAAGCAATTATAGTCAGGTATTGAGTACACTATAGGAAATAGAAGCCGAAGAAGCCATTATTTCATGAAAAATAATTAAGAAAGTAATGGAAGTTTATTAAGTGTTATTAGGTAGACCTAACATCCTGGTAGAGATATAGTTAATAGATTAAAATGTATTGTAAACAATTTTTTTTTATACATTATTTTAGCGTTGCCTTAATTTTATCAGTTCTTTATAAATCAATCACCTTGTTATCTCATAACCATTATTTCTGGGCCTTGATTCATGTTAACCAGAGCGCCGTAGATTGGGATTTGTAAGGTTCGTTGTGTGCGATCATACTGTAGCTTGGCCTAGAAACAAAAATATTTTATCGCGACGATGTAACTGTAGTAAAATCATCCAAGCTTTGAGCAGTTTGCACACGATACGCAACAAATCAGGCACTACCGTATACCGAGTGATAAGTCGGTAATAGAAAAACTCGCAAAGGAATGTAATTCGGTCACCACTGACTTGCTGACACAAAATCTTATTATAATAGGTCTATTAGTATTATAAAAATTACTGTAGGCGTACGATATAACTATTACAAAATAAACATAGTCCTATGTCTTGTGAAAATTAGTCACATAAACAGACAGGTCTGTCATTCAACCACTTCATCACCGTCATGTGGTGGTCGTAGTCGTCGTCATCATCATTATCGTCTTCATCATAATGACCATCATCACCACTGTCATCTTCATCGTCATCATCATCACCATCACCGCTGTCATCATCATTAATATTATTTCATACTTTATCTGCGCATCTATATAAACAAACATTCTTCGGGTAGGATAAATGGACCCCTAAATTTACCTCATTCTAACAATGTTCCACCAATCCCCCCGCCACCACCCAAAAAAAATCACAAAAAGCGGGATCGACCCCCCCCCCCTGATTCTTAGTGTTCTATATCTTATCACCTGGTAGCAATGTTCACAATCTTAACTTTTATACAATGGTTTTTAAATTTTCCTCATTTCTTAATTCACGTAAAACCATCTCTAATAGTTTTAATATGCGTTAAACTACTATAGCAATTATCTAGATGATGGGAAGTTAGCACGAATCGTACCAATCTGCAAAGGCAAATGGTGCCAATTAAACAAGAGGGCCTAATTAAACAGTAGTTATAGGTTTGTTTTCAGTATGTCTATTGCAAACATTGTTGAAAAAAATCTTCCAATTCAAGTTATCGATTATCTAAATCTGTATGATCTTTTGAATATTTACAAATCTACCCAAATTGTCTCCATAGAGATATTGATTATTGTTATGACGAGTTGTCTCTTCTTAACATATGCAAATCATATTGAGTTGTTGTCTATACTCAAAGTATTATGACATTCAGTATGATGAAAATTGATTATTCCGTTGGCTAGTGGAATGTAGGCTTATAATACAATCTAGTCCGAGTGTTACAGTGTTTCTCAAAGGCAGCGTTCTACTACGACGATGTTAATATTATTGTTATTAGATGACAGTTAAAACAATTTACTCGCTTAACTTGAGATAATAGTGATGATAATAATAATAATAATAATTATTATTATTATTATTATTATTATTATTATTATTATTATTATTATTATTATTATTATCGTTATTATTATCGTTATTATTATTATTATTATTATTATTATTACTGTTGTCATTAATGTTATTGTTATGAAACATATTATTACTATTAAAGTAAGTAGATTAGGATTATTGTTTTGTGTATCGTATCCTGGGCATAAAGCATAACAGTTGGTTTTCAACTGAGTTGCTAACCCAGGCTAAACAAGAAATAACTAAATAAATAAAGCTTTTAAATCAAGAATACACATTTTCATTGTCCAGTAATGACCCGACAATCAATTTTCCCGATGTGGGGTCTAATGCTTCAGATGGAAAGTCAAATTTTCCCGACGGGACCATTAGTGAGCGGGGCCATAGGGCATCTCAGAACCCTGATCTGATATAGGCCTGAAAAATTAATGATCTATGTATATCTTTAATTGTCACTAATTATAAGACTTACAGATAAAAATGCTTTGCCGTCTTTTACCCATCCAGCTACAATGTCAGAGCCAGGCATTCCACCATTTGGAGAAAATCCAATAGCAACGTATCCCTGAGTCTTAGCACTCATTTCAATGAAGATATCG